TCTTAGGAAGGCCGTTAGGGTCCTCTACGCCCTTTATTTTTGCACTAGGGGCATCCTTAGCCTTTTCCTGCTCTTTTGACCCCGTTCTATGGATTATTGCCTCTAGCTCTCCCAGCATCTGTGCGTGCAGTTGCTCCACTTTCCCATCATCAGGGTTGGTGTCGACCTGGCGGGCCGCTCGGGTTAGGTTTACCCGAAAGGCTACGTCGGGGTTGGCTTGGAGGACGACGCGTGTAATTTTTTCTAGCGCTTTTATCCTCAAGGCACTATCCGGTAACGTACCTCCAAGTTCTTTCATACGATCGCGGATGTTTCTTCTGTAGTCGATGCTCTTCTGCATCTTTTCATTGAGCTTTTGGTCTTCTTAAACTCAGTCTCCTCTTGGGCAGTCTCTGATCTCTTCCATTTTTCCATCCAGCTCACTTTGCTGAGCGAGGATAGCACGGCCTCTCTCTTCAATCTCTTCCAAATTTGCAGTCATTCTCTCTCTTTTGTTTGCTGCAGCTTTTCTTTTCTGCTCTCCTCCAACTTTCCATACGATGCTCCGATTTTCTGAAACTCCTCATCTATCGTTGCGTCCTGCTTGCCGAGGCTTTCAACCTCGTCTGCAAAACCGCGCTGCGCAGCACTTCTCCAGTTTGCGGCACTTCTTCCCTTGCAACTTCTTCTGAATCGACTTCTTTCAAATCCTCGTCTTTCTCTTCGCCTTCAGCTTTGTCTTCTCGTTCAAGGCTTAACTCCTTCACCTTCTTAGTGACTTGGTCGAGCGGAACCATTTCACTTTCGGTTTTCTTCAGCAAAGTGTGCCGCCGACATACTTTTCGCGCTGGTTCTGATGGAAGGACCGCTTCGCGGTCCAGTCCCTTCTGAGTTTTCTTCGGACTCGTCATCATCCTCTTCGAGGTGTTGGGTATTAGATTGATTGAAGTTTGATGCATGAAACAGAACCGCGAGGCCCATGAAAGCAGAGTACAAAAAGAGCCTGGGCTTCCAAAAGAAGTATTTTTTGAGCTGATTGCAATCTGAGACTCTGGCGGTACTTCGACTATCGCTTGAGTCCCGGATGTCGCTGCTGTGAAAGCAATTCTTTGGACGACCTCCCAGTAGGGGTAGTCAGTCGAGAAATTCACCTTTGCAAAGTTTTCGACAATTCGACAATCCAGCCACGAGGTACCCCCCCAAGCATCCCTGCACCGACGAAGATCGCCGAGTTGACGAGGTTGCCGTGATTTCTGCACATCGGCAAGATACACGCACTTGGCGTCATCAACCTGTCTGCCAGTACAAAGCACGTTCACCTACAAATTCGGGTCATATTCAGGTCCTGGGTCGAACTCTCTGGCACAATCCTTGCCTGGGGCAAACTCGTTCCACCAATTGTCGTCGTCCACTCCGATCAGAGACCAAATGGCCAAATGGTAACCTCTTTTGGGGCGTCAACGATCATGACCTTCAACCGAAATTCGTTTTACTTGCCCGTGTACGAATATACTAAGTTCTTGTCGCTGTCGTAAAACTCTATCTCCAGGCCATTCTTGCTTTCTTGAAAGTCGACCACATGTGACCGCATGGCGCGATGGCTTTGCAGCAAGAAGTGAGAGTTTGAAGTTTGAAGAGATGAGTCAGCAGGAAGAGCAGAAGACTCAGAAAAAGGACCGGGGCCGTTGAGGTCGTTTGCGAAGAGGACCATGAAGTGAAAAAGGCTGCTGCTGCTGCTGCTGCTGCTGCTGCTGCTGCTGCAAGCAGTGACGTGTTGAATCCGCAGGCCGAGCAAATGGCCGAGCGAAAGAAAGAGTTGAAAGAGATGAAGGATGCAGCCGAAGAGAGAAGGAAGAATACTGTAGTGAAGATGGTTCTCGGCTCAAAGACCTCTGAAGGAGAAGGCGGAGCAAAGAGAAAAAATGAAGCCTGTTCACTGCGTAAGAGGGCCTCGGGCTCCGTGGTGTAAAGGGTTCTTGGGGGTTCCATGAAGGTTTCCCTTCGAAGAGGTATTGAAGAATGCAGAATTCCTTTGCCTAACCATGGCTTAGTAGAGTTCCACCCCCGACGTTTGATAATCCTTTACGAAGCCTTGAAGGCTCTGAAGTGGAGCTGAGCTCCATGATCATGCCCAGGGCATCACGACATGCAACAGCAATGGGACATGAGTTAGACGATCCTAAGTGACCGAGAAGCTCATCGGATGTATAGGATCAGCTGCTGTTTGTGAGAAAATTCGGTAGCTTGTGTAAGCCCATGGTTCCGTGACTTCCTGCCTGTCTTTCATCAGATCTGGCCTTCCTACAAGAACCACCACGGCTTCAAGTGAAAACCCCAACGAGGGCATTATTGATGATAATGACGAGCGACAGGTTATGCGCCCAACCGGTGCTCAGGCTTCGTCAAGACAACATGTTGTCCATGAACGTGATGCAGTACCTAATGGTGTTCCTGCCCCCCCCCCCTCCTCGAGGACCTCATGACCTAGACGGAGAGACAGTGGCAGCTTCATTGTTGGATACTGCAACGCAACAATCCTTCGGATGAAACAATGGCTCCATCATCGTCGAGAGCCACAGTGTCTTCTATGTCTGCGCCTGGATTTCTGATGGGGCCCCAGCCCAGATGTTAGAGAACCCCGCCGACGGAGTCTGTTGAGGAGACAGGCAGCCGGAGTGGACACGCCACATTTTTGGGTGGTATGGCCAAGGCTATGCAGTCGATTCCTGCAGCTGTTGAAGGGTTCGTCTTGGGACACGGGCCTGCCGGTCAGTCGTCCCAGGCCGTAACCTCTGGTGGTGAACTGGAGGGCTTCGCTTCGGCGCAATCCGGAAGTCCAGACGATCAGAGGAGACCGCCCTCCGCGACACAACTGCCGGCTACGCCTTTGCTGGATGAGAGGACACTGCAAAGGTTGAATGGACTGCAAGTCTCGGCGCCACATCTGTACGTGGCAGAGGCACCCTCTTCGGGAATCCGACCTCCTTCAACAAGCTCTAGTGGCATTCAGGCAGAAGTTCGAAGGCAGGTTCGAGAATTCATGATCGTGCGCGACGAGGAGAACCGTGAATTGAGGGCTAGGCTAGAACTGTTGGCCGTAGAAAATAATAACTTGAGGCAAGAAGTCTCTCAGCAGATGTACAGTAGGGAGCCCGGTCCAAGGCCTGTGAGTTCAGGAAGATTCGGTTTTGACTGGATTGTTCGAGGTTTCGGGAATCTCCTTGGGGGAGTTCCTTCTCCAAAGCCAGCGTCCCCTCCGGAACGGCCATTGCATTTAAGGCCTCCACCTCTACCGCCTCCACCCCGGCCTTCCATCAGTCATCCGCCAGCCATCACGCAGCATTCATCCGTGCCAGCTGCCCAGGAGTTGAGCGACCCCTTGAGACCTGAAAAGGCTGCGACGAGAGGCATGGTGAAGGCGTCGTTGGCGACGCGAGTGACGGCAGCTCTAGCGTCTAGCGACGAAGAGGGAGGCGCTTGTGATGAGTGTGATGTGTGTAGCCGAAAAGGCCACCATACACACGCGTGCTGGGATGTGCAACTCAACTATGAAGTTGATGGAAGAGGCAAATCCGTATTCGTCCCAGCACTGGACCAAACGAATGACCAAGGCAACCCCAAGTTTCCTACGCAAAGCGCTTTCCGCAAATGCAAGGCAAAGAGGTGCAATGTGCGCAAAGAAAATAGTGCCCACTTGCAATAGTCAAAAGAGAAGTTCAGAAAAACAAAGGGCTCTGGAAAGCCTAAGAAAAAGGTAAAGGAGAGGACGCAACGCACGAGAACCCCAGAGGGGGAAAAGAGAAAGGAGACCAGACCTCAGGTCTATAAAGAAGGGGGTAAAGTGAGAAGAGACCGAACCTCAAGTCTATAAAGAACGAGGGAGGTGAAGAGTTGTTTTTTGCAGCGCTGTTGCCAACGAATTTTGTAGCACAGCTGCACCAACGCGATCCAGTTCGTGCTGGATAAGTGGCTAGTCCACTTTGTACGAGTTGAAACGAGAAGTGAGCCTTCTGGGCACTACCGTATCGCGTAGTTGTCACACATGACAAAGAGCTTTGCGCTATGAGCGTGTTTACAAACAACAGAAGTGAGGAAGCGTTGTGTTTTGATTTCGTAGGCACCTTTGAGCACTGCAAGAGACCTCGAAAAAGGATGGTGCGAAGAGGGGGTAACAAACATTCCCCTTGCCTGGGATGCCCCTCCAATCCACGTGTTTTGTACAGTTGTCTCACCATTGCCGTAGGGCCGTAGGGTCAAGGGACCACCTGTGACGCAGAGTGGTGCCCAGCAAAAGTGAGCTAAGGGGCGGCGGATAAGACACTATTTTCTTCCAAGTCCAATCGCGACTTTCTTCCCGTGTGAGCAGTGCCGAAGGCGCAACTCATGGGGGGTGCGAACGGACCTCGTTATAACTAATCCAATTCGTTGAGTGTAGACCATGAGCACCCGCGATACTGTTTTGCAGATCGTGACAATCTCTTTCAAGTGCTCCACTTCATGCGCAACATTGTGAGCTCCAAGCTCATGACTGCCATCAAGCCCAAAGCTTATGACTTAGGTTGTGTGCTTACGATCCAAAGTAGCCGAGCCATTCCCCTCTGCACAAACCACTGCTGACTTGCGTCAATGTGCCTGCAACGGAAGAGAGTTGCTCTGAGAGTGGAACCAACGTCTACACTATATCAAAAAGCTCGGTGAGGTGAGCGACAACATCATCTATTACAGACCCTGACGCACATAATTAGGGATAGCCGCACAAGCGGTACTAAGAGTGGTAACAGGAACAACAATTTTAACAGTAGCAGTCACAATGATAAAATCACTGATAGCACTAATCGCAATAATAAGTGTAACAACAATGATCCTCGCATTATTGAAAAGGAAGCAGTGGAACATAAGTTTTTCTGGTCTTGTTCAGAACTCTCTTGAATATTGGTTGCTTTGGTACTGTTAGAATTTTTGTTTGATCCGCATTCCAGTACGCTTGTCAGGTCCAGGAAATCCTGTCCAGGCGGCACGGCATGGCTCAGGAGGTCATCGACCGAATCCCATCTTTCAGGCTCAGAGTGCTTCACAGCACTGCGGCATCGTTATTCATCAGTGGTGATGGCACTGTCAGCAACGCAGGTGGACGGAGGACCAAGGCAGACAGACGGGACAGACTCAGTGCATGGTCCGGGCCGCAGCAACAGAGCGAAGTCTGAACGTGCGCATTTGTGATCTTGAGGTTTGCCTGTGTCCTTTCGATGACGACGAGGTGGGATCAATAAAACCCTCACCACAGCTGTTCTGTTGCTTAAAAGGTGCGGCGACTGCCCTGTGGGCACGTCTTCCATCGAAACTGCATTGATGAGTGGCTGCTGTCCCAGTGCCAGCTGTCACTTCTGCGCACTGCCAAAACTTATTCGCCGTGTGCTGAAGGCTCCGCCGATGCACGGATTGCCCGATCTGCAAAGCCAATGTTGACCGGTCAGTGTTTTGCTGAGGTGTGGTCTTTACAGCTTTTCGCATGCGAATGCGATAAGTACGTTGGCCGAGGTCCGGCAGTATTGACTCACCTTGACAGCGTCGCAGACCGCATGAAAGAAGGATGGCCCGGAAGTGCTAGTGTGGGTGAGGCTTGTCGGGGCTTCGCAAATGGTAAAGTCTTAAACAGGGAGCGGAGGTGCCAGGGCCGGCAGAAGACATGAAGAGCTTGCGCTCCCTCTTTTGCCTCAGCCGTTTCACGTTTCACCCCTGGCGGCGAGCGGCGCTGCTCGGCGCCGCTCCTCATGGGCGTCGCTCGGAAGCGGTTCTGTCAGGCCTGCAGGGCCTGCAGACCACACCCCACACCTTCGCTGCGCATCGCCTTTCACGCGAGGCGGCGCTGGAAGTCTGCTTCGGCCAGCTTGAGGAGATCACGCCAGAGTCTTGCAGTGCTGTGCCCAACTTGGCCTGGCCCTATCATGTTCCTCAAAGCAGGTTGTGGATGAGTCTAGAAAGGTTTGACTCTGTAAAGGGCGAGCTTTGACCCTGGATTCATCTCAAGGCTTGAATGAGTTTGGGCTGGGTGCCCTGTATCCCGTTTCGGAGAAGAGATATCGCTTGTGGAAGATCCGGGTGGACTCGCCATCGCAAAGCTTCCAGGACAGAGAATCCCTAGGGAACAAAAGCTGCATTGAGCAGATTTGGGGGCCCTGCTGCTCTGAGGCCTTTCGCCCGAACTCTACTTGGATGTGCGCTCTGTCTCTCCACAGAGTGAGAGTGCCTTGCTCTTTTTTCAAGCTGTGCGTTTGGCAGGTACAGCGTGTGGCTGTTGCCTATGTCTGACTTCAGCGATCGCCTTCGGAGGCCCGCTGCGGCCCGCTGCGGCCTTGGGAACGCGGGCCCTGTCGCAGGTTTCCTGGACTTGACCCTGCAGGGCCTCCGCGAGCAGTGGCAAGAAGCGGAATGCCAGGTGGGCCCAGAGATCCGGGCCGAGTTGTCACCGCTGCGCTCCGCAGGTGCTGGGACCAGGACGCATCACCACCTTGGCAACGACCTGCGAGGAGTTCGATACCGGAAGCAGCTGCTCGAGGCCCGCAGCAGAGCGGCCATGTGTACGCCGGATCTGGGGGTTTGAGGGGAGAGACCTGCTGGGCGCCGTCGCGCCGTCGTCGCGCCGTCGTCGC